GGTGACCCCTATGGATCTGTAGCAGGTCTGTAGATAGGGGTATCATGACATCACATCTACTATTAATAGTTACGTCACCTATTAATGTAATTGTGTTTCATTGTTTATTTTTATAAAAAAAACTTGACAGGGAAAGTTCCTCTGCAATAAACTCGTTATACAGTTCACTACTGACCCCCTACAGTACCGTAGGTCTCTTGATGCAACATTTGTACCTAGCTTTTAAACAAAAGTTGGGAAAAAGTAAAAAAATAATATCACATACACTCAAACTCTTTGTTGTCTCTGCTATATCATAGGAAAAAATAAATAACAATGCCATACTTTTTCCCAAGCAGTTTTTCTTCACTACTTATATTGGGTGACACACAAACATACGTAAATTAATCAGTTTGTATAGGTTAACCAAAAGTGTTTTGTTAAAAGAAACTAGATATAAATGCATTCAAAGCTTGTATATCAAGCTGTTGATTTCACATGACTTAATACTTGTTATTACTTAGTAAGGTTAGCACCATGCTTTCCTGAAATGCTAGAAATTGACATGATCAATGCTACTTTCTTTTTTTCATTTGATTAGGTATAAATAGGTGCATAATCGTGATAAAAATAGATGGCGCAATCCTTTTTTTTAGTGATATACCAATTGTAAAATGGAAAGGGCATTTTGTATAAAAATAACCCATGTAAACAGTCATTACTTGCATTATTTTTATCTGTAGGATTGAAATGGACTGGTACAAAGTACAAAATTTTCCACAAAAGCCTAATAAGGGCCCAGCCGAATGGCGGGTCGCCCTCTAGTGATCAGTCTGTCCTTCCGTAACAATTGTGTCCACTCTATATCTAGAGAACCGTTATAATTTCATACTTTATACTTGACATGTATATTAACCAACACCAGAGGACGTGTCATAATGTTATGTCCCCTCTATATCTAGAGAACCGTTATAATTTGATACTTTTTACTTGACATGTATATTAACCAACACCAGAGAGTGTGTCATAATGTATGTACAACTTCCTAGGTGTCAAAAACTTTGGTTTCAGTTGACAGCCCCATGTCCTATGGTAAATATACAAATTTTTTACCACACGTTATTCACAGCGGGGCCAACAGAGATGGCTCTCATCTCAATGATGTCTAGTTTTTATACGACCGCAAAAAAATTTTTGTGGTCGTATATTGGTATGACGTTGGCGTCGTCGTCGTCGTCATCGTCCAGCGTCGTCCGAAGACACATTGGTTTTCGCACTCTAACTTTAGTTTAAGTAAATGGATCTCTATGAAATTTTACCACAAGGTTCAATACCACAAAAGGAAGGTTGGGATTGATTTTGGGGGTTATGGTACCAACAGTTAAGGAATTAGGGGCCAAAAAGGGGCCAAAAATAAGCATTTTTGTAACTTCCAGACATAACTTGTGTGTTAGTGTATGGATCTCTCTGACATTGTACAACAAGGTTCCATATCACAAAAGGAATGCTGGGATTGATTTTGGGGGTAATTCCTTCAAAATTTTAGGAATTAGGGGCCAAAAAAGGGGCAAAAAACAAGCATTTTTCTAGTTTCATGACAATAACTTGTGTGTAAGTGTATGGATCTTTCTGAAATTGTACTACAAGGTTCCATATCACAAAGGGAAAGCTGGAATTGAGTTTGGGGGTGATGGGGGGTAATTGCCGAAAAATTTAGGAATTGGGGGCCAAAAAGGGGCCAAAAATAAGCATTTTTCTAGTTTCCAGACAATAACTTGTGTTCAAGTGTATGGATCTCTCTGAAATTGTACTGCAAGGTACCATACCACAAAGGGAAGGCTGGGATTGATGATGGGGGTAATTGCCTCAATATTTTAAGAATTAGGGGCCAAAAAGGGGCAAAAAACAAGCATTTTTCTAGTTTCAGGACAATAACTTGTGTGTAAGTGTATGGATCTTTCTGAAATTGTACTACAAGGTTTCATATCACAAAGGGAAAGCTGGGTTTGAGTTTGGGGGTAATTGCCCTAAACGTTTAGGAATTTGGGGCCAAAAAGGGTAAAAAAACGCATTTTTCTAGTTTCCAGACAATAACTTGTGTTCAAGTGTATGGATCTCTCTGAAATTGTACTGCAAGGTACCATACCACAAAGGGAAGGCTGGGATTGAGTTTGGGGGTGATGAATCATAAGGGGGTTCAAAAAATTTGGGGGGGGGGATTTTTTTTTTTCCTTTTTATTCTTTTTTTCCTTTTTCTTTCTTTTAAAATTTTCCATTTTAAGTTGGTTATTTCTGATTTATATTTAAAAGCAAATAATAATGATATGGTTGGAGATACACACCAAACAGGATGTGTAAATTATTATATAATAAGTATTGTGCAATAGCAAGAAATTTTCAATTGCACAGTATTGCACAATAGCAAGAAATCTTCAATTGCACAGTATTGCGCAATAGCAAGAAATCTTCAATTGCACAGTATTGCGCAATAGCAAGAAATTGTCAATTGTACAGTATTGCGCAATAGCAAGAAATATTTAATTGCACAGTATTGTGCAAAAGAAGATACTTCGTATAAATTGCTTATTTCTTGACCAATTTCAATGGGGTTTTATTCTTGACTTCTTGGGGTTCTTTACTATGCTGAATCTAACCGTGTATTAAGTTTTTGGATTTTGGGCCCCGTTTTTAAATTGGTCCACATTGAGGTCCAAAGGGTCCAAAAATAAACTTTTGTTTGATTTCATCAAAAATTGAATTATTGGGGTTCTTTGATATGCCGAATCTAACCGTGTATTTAGATTCTTAATTGTTGGTTCCGTTTTCAAATTGGTCTACATTAAGGTCCAAAGGGTCCAAAATTAAACTTAGTTTGATTTTAACAAAAATTTAATTCTTAGGGTTCTTTGATATTCTGAATCTAAACATGTATTTAGATTTTTGATTATGGGCCCAGTTTTCAAGTTGGTCCAAGTTGGGGTCTAAAATTAAACTTTGTTTGATTTCAACAAAAATTGAATATATGGGGTTCTTTGATATGCTGAATCTAACCATGTATTTAGAGTTTTGATTTTTGGGCCCTGTTATCAACTTTGTCCACATTGAGGTCAAAAGGGTCCAAAATTAAACTTTGTTTGATTTCATCAAAAATTGAATTCTTGGGGTTCTTTGATATGCTGAATCTAACCATGTATTTAGATTTTGGATATTGGACCATAATAGGTGAATGTCCAATTTAAAATTTTTAAGTTCTTAGACCACATTCATTCTGTGTCAGAAACCTATGCTGTGTCAAATATTTAATCACAATCCAAATGCAAAGCTGTATCAAGCTTGAATGTTGTGTCCATACTTGCCCCAACTGTTCAGGGTTCGACCTCTGCGGTCGTATCAAGCTGCACCCTGCGGAGCATTTTATTGTCGAGCCTGCGACAAAAGCAGAAAGCTCGACATAGGGATAGTGATCCGGCGGCGTCGGCGTAAGCTAACTTCTTAAAAGCTTTGTATTTTAGAAGGTGGAAGACCTGGATGCTTCATACTTTGTATATAGATGCCTTATGTTACGAAATTTCCGACTGTCACATGTCCATATTTCATGACCTCATTTTCATGGTTCAGTGACTACTTGAAAAAAAAGTTAAGATTTTTTGTAATGTTAATTTCTCTCTTATAATGAGTAATAGGATAACTATATTTGGTATGTGCATACCTTGCAAGGTCCTCATGCCCGTCAGACAAATTTCACTTGACCTCGACCTCATTTCATAGATCAGTGAACAAGGTTAAGTTTTGATGGTCAAGTCCATATCTCAGATACTAGAAGCAATAGGTCTAGCATATTCGATGTATGGAAGGACTGTAAGATGTACATGTCCAACTGGCAGGTGTCATCTGACCTTGACCTCATTTTCATGGTTCAGTGGTTATAGTTAAGTTTTTGTGTTTTGGTCTGTTTTTCTTGTACTGTATGCAATAGGTCTACTATATTTGGTGTATGGAATGATTGTAAGGTGTACATGTCACGCTGGCAGGTGTCTTCTGACCTTGACCTCATTTTCATGGTTCAGTGGTCAATGTTAAATTTTTGAGTTTTGATCTTTTTTTCTAATACTATATGCAATAGGTCAACTATATTTGGTGTATGGAAATATTTTATGATGTACATGTCAGTCTGGCCGGTTTTATTTGATCTTGACCTCATTTTCACGGTTCATATCTCATTGTTAAGTTTTTGTGTTTTGGTCTGTTTTTCTATTACTATAAGCAATAGGTCAACTATATTTGTTGTATGGAAGGATTGCAAGCTGTACATGTCTGCCTGGCATGGTTCATCTGACCTTGACCTCATTTTCATGGTTCATTAGTCAATGTTTAGTTTTCTTGGTTAAGTCTGTATCTTAGAAACTATAAGCAATAGGTCAACTATATTTAGTGTATTGAATGATTGTAAGGTGTGCATGTATTTCTTGTTTGGTTTATATGACCTTGACCTCATTTTCTTGGACCATGTTTAGTTTATGTGATAGTTGTAGTAAAGCTTTATATTTAGAACTCTCAACATAATATCAATGATTAGTAAAGAAGGCAAGACATTTCAGCGTGTGCACTCTTGTTTTCAATAAATTTTAAATAAAAACACAATTTTGCTCTTAAAACCACTAATAGGATTTTATACCTGTTGTTAACGATTTTATATTGCAAAAAATGCTAAATATCATGTTTTTCTTATTTTTTCTTATTTGTGTATATAGAATAGCAAAATATTCTTCAGTTAGTGATGTGTAAGTTAAAGTAGGGCTGCAAATTCATAATGTTAACAAAAGAATCATCAAAATTTGGTTGGTAATGTCCCACAGAGTCCCTAACTGTATTGTAAGCACAAATGATACCAAAAATAGATTTTGTACCCATCCAAAAATGGATTTAAAATTAAAGTTTGACCTACTTATAAGTATTAGATAGTATATATTGAATGAGCAGTTATGTTGTTACCAGATTTACATCTACTGTTTTATTTGTAGGCTGGCTACGGATATGGCTTACCGTTGTCAAGACTATATGCCCAGTATTTTCAAGGAGATTTAGTTATCTCATCAGTGGATGGATTTGGTACAGATGCTTATATATATCTAAAGGTTTGTCTATTTACAGTATGCCTTTTTGTTATTTTTGCGGTCGTATATTGGTATGACGTTGGCGTTGTCGTCCGAAGACACATTGGTTTTCACACAATAACTTTAGTTTAAGTGAATGGATCTCTATGAAATTTTACCATAAGGTTCAATATCACAAAAGGTGAAGCAATTTATTTGTTGATAGTTTAATGATACCCAAAGAACATGAAATGCTTTTTGGTTTATATGAGAGGGAATAATTTTATATTTGGCATGGATTTTGATATATAAGAGCTGCCTTGCATTCACTTTCTGTTTGCTTTATTGTCTCACCTTGATGAAGTTGAAAAAGCAAGACTTGGGCTTGCTATTTCCAGCAACAGCAGCTGCGTCAACAATGTATGAGTTTGTGATTAGGTCAGTTGAAGGGGAACCAATAGTGGTAGGTCAATGATATTGGTAGGCAATTGTATTTACATAGACACATCTCATTTCCATGGAGATTATGTGACTCCCCCCCCCCCCCTCAGTCATGGTCTATTGACTTTGAAAGTTTTGCTTAGTTTACATGTTAAAAGTTAAAGTATCCTTGAAAATTGAAAATACAATTTTTCCTCTATCCACAAAAATGACTGAATTCTTAAAATATCATTTTCATAGCATGTTTTCCATGGAAAAATACATGAAAATTAGAATTTCAATTGTTTTTCATAATATTATGGATTTTATATTTTTAATATATTAATATACAAGACACTAATAAATAAAAATGTTGTTCATTGTAGGTTTTATCAAATGAAGCCAATGAGTGTTTACCTATATATAACAAAACATCAGCTAGAATGTATGAATCAGATGTTGTTGTTTCGGATTGGACGAGTCCACCAAAAAGTCCACAGAATTCCCGGACATTTTCAACTCTCTCTAGAACGTATCAGCCACGGACTTGATTTTGTGATCTTCTGTAATGAAACCCAGAAATTTCCCATCACTAACAACCAGTTTTCAGCATTAACAGAGTAGAAGTTTGATAATAGTTGGTCAGCTTATTCTCATATAAATGATATTTGTAAGGAGAGTAGTAGTGTGTTTCATCTACTGGAATGAATGTACATTATATATGTTGGGTATTTATCTGTAAAGTTTTGTAATCATGTTGATATTTTGACTGAGATGAGAAAAAATGGTATATATTGGTGCTACAATATTTGTAATATATTTGCTAAACTAATTATGTAGTAAGATTTTTTTTATAATATGTGAATTTTTGTATTCGAAAGTGTTCACTATAGATTGTTCATACTAATAATATTTTACTATACCATGCAAAATGAAAACAGTTCAAACTTGTACAACACTAGTCATTTAAAGAATTGTTTTTAATATTAAATATTTTCCATTTAGGAAATGAGGGGTCATAAAACAGCATTTTGTTTTTAAATGTTATATGTTTGTCTTTTTCATTTTCATTGCAATTTCATGCAAACATGCAGATCAAATGTCACTACGGTAACTGATATTTGATTTGATAAATGAATTATGTCTGTTTGTTTTGCTCACACATTGCTGTCAATATAATGGAATTCTATACAACTGTCATACAAGTGAGAGGTTTAGCTAGCTATAAAACCAGATTTAATCCACCATTTTCTACATAAGGAAATGTCTATACCAAGTCAGGAATATGACAGTTGTTTTCCATTTGTTTGATGTGTTTGAGCTTTTGATTTTGCCATTTGATAAAGGACTTTCTGGAAATTTCCTTGGAGTTTGTGGTATTTTTGTTATTTTACTTTTTGAATAAACTCTAGAGTGGGTGGCGCATATTCGCCGTGGACACATTTTTGCCGTTTTTGCAATTTTTTCTGTAAATTTTGTGTGCCTTTACCCAATACTTGCCTAAATAGATACTAAACGCTGTTTGTAATGTTCGAACTGTTGATATTCCTCTTTACCCCATTTCCAATGTTATTCGCACATATAAAGAAATATGCAGGTGTTTTTGAACGATTTTGGCAATTATGTAAGATTTATATGGCACGCATGTGCAGTCATAAAGTAAATATTTGTAAGAAGAATCCTATCGGAATGATCTCTCAAGCTAATTCATGTAATTGCAAACAATTGTTTTTAATATACAGGGACAATGAGGATGGTCATATCATACATCGCGGCGAAAATGTGTCAGAACAACTTGATTTCCAGTCTTGAGTTTGCGTTCATTTTTAAAACATTTAACCAATGTTTTGAAGAGAATTCCTTTATCAAACATTTTTTTCATATAGTAAACTTTCTGAAACCTACATAAAAAGTTTCAAATATTCGAATGTAGGTCGGATGTAGTTGGAAATAAACGAATTTTGCGGCGAATATGCGTTACCCACTCTATATAGAATAAAAACATTTCTACATTTTATTAGGTGTATAACTAATCTTTGTTTGAAATCAAGGCCAATGGAGAATTGATTTTGTTACTGTTTTATCAAATGGCCAGTATGGGCTGTTGCCATCTTGTGTTATCTCAAATTTTCTTTTCTCTATGTTGAATTTAAGAAGCTGTGTTTCTGACTCACTAGGTCTGGACAAAAATGTTATAATATAACTGGTCTTTAAAAATTTTGAGTACTTTGATAGGTTGGAAATATGTATGATGTGTAATCAAGGTCACTTCATTTTATTGCGTACATGTTATTTGAGGCCTCCAGAAGTGTCTCAATTTTTGTTATTTAAGAAAACCTTTATTTTTTGTTAACTGCATTTCCCCCTGCATTGGAGATATGCAAATTAGAGGAATCAAGTTTAAATATCTTTATTTTATAAAGGCAATATTTCACTCTTGGTTTACTGGGCATTTTCAAGTTATCTGATTTCATTGTTATTTAATTCTTATCCAATTAGGGACATTTAAAACATCAAATTGTTTGAATGTATCATTTATTTATTAGATAACTAGTTAACATGTATTTATTTAATGTATGAGTACCAAGTTAAGTTTTATAAAAAGAAATGAAATCCATTTTATTCTTGTACTCCGAAATCCCTAAAAAGTTGAATCTAGTGGAAAATGATAAATTTGATTCAGACAACTCTATCAATTTTACAACATATAAATAATTTGCAGGAGGAAATTTTCATGACAATATTCAGATTAATAAAAACTCATTCAAATCACATATTTCTGAATTCCAATTCACAATCATGACTGAATAAATTAGACATTTGTGTATTTATAAAGCATTTTTTTTTTTCCCAATTGAAATGAGGTTGTTGTTATTTCTTTCTAATTGATATGGCATATGGAATTAGATTTATTATATTTTAATCAGATTCGAAATAAAAACCAAACATATACTTTTGTAAATGATATTATATTTTAATTCTACGTATGAAAGGTGAGAGGCAATATTATTTTTGGGAAAAAAGCTGTACAAAAAAAATTTAAAATATGTACAACTGTCTTTGGTAAAGTTTTGACTCGTACTTCATTAGAATATTTAGCTAACCAGGTCAGAAAAAGTATAAAGGTATTTGCATCTTACTGTCTTTCATTAATTTATTCCAACAAAAATGGTCAATATTTTTCTCTACCTTTTATACAGGTATTCATCTATGGTTACCCAAATTGTTTTAAAAGTTTACAGAAGAAAAGAGTATATATATTGAATGAATGATGTATGAGCAGTCCTTTATAAAGATTTTACATTTTGTTAAGTTTAGATTGAAGCATAACTAACAAAATTATGCGGGTATTTTTTTAACCTACAACAGCATTTTTTAAGATTTATGTAGAGAACCATAAAGACTTCTCTCATTGATATGGCATTTATAGTGGTAACAGATATTCATATATACATGTAAAATATGTGTTTCTTGCTGGTAGAATGAAAGATCTGGCTGCTAAAGGCAATTACTGGTATTTAATTATGAGATCTCAGAAACAATGCAAAACTTTTTAAATAACAACTAAAAAGATGTGTGGAAAAGTTGTCCGAAGATCTTTTCAGGATTGGGTGATCTTAGATTTGAGACATTCAGTTGAGGTCTTTTTCAGTTTTTCTATTCAACAAGTGTTTATAAATATTCAAACTTCAATTAATCTCTTCCATACCATTGGTAGCCTTTGTTTTTATTCACAATTTGTCTAGACCAGATGAACTTGCCATTTGGTATAGACCCTTGTTTATAGATGAAGACCATATGTTGCCTTCTAGAGTTCTTTTCTGTTGTGAATAAATTAACAGAAACTGATATAAAAACAAAAAATTCCCTACAAAACAGAAAACATTAAGACTACTAACCACAACCACTAACCAGGTATTTGACTTTTCAGACACATTTTAATATGTGATGGGTTTTAAAACAAATTTTTTTCAACAATCTTTCATTTAAATCAGTGGAATTTTAAGGGTAAGGGAGAGAAACATACAATAAAATCTATTTCAGGAAAAGTCTGCATTTTGTTATGGTGTATAAATGTGAATTTGTAATTTGTTGATAGTGTGTTTGTGTTTTGGAATATGGAAGTGTGAAATTCAGAATGCTTATTTTCTTGCTGATGTGTATGGTTTGGTGTATAAATGTAGTTTCAAGATAACGTGTTGGTGTTTTGGAATATGGAAGTGTGAATGTTTATTTTCTTGCTTATGTGTCTGGTTTAGTGTATGAATGTGAATGTGTACTTTCTTTGTAATATATAAGCATGTGTGTTTGTGTATGGAAGTTTGAATGTGTAGCATCTTGCTAGTGTGTATATGTAGTTTCCTGTTGGTTGGTCTGGTGTAAAACTAAAATCTTGTTTTACAATCTATAAAATGGCAATTTTGGTTATGAATTAATTTTATTTTCATGACACTTACAAGAGCATGAAAAATACTACCTATTAAAATGATGATTTATAGGTTGTTTTTTTTTAACCCAACTATGACCAGTTTAAAATATTCATCCATGCACTTATTGTATGATGAATGATAACATGAAATTACATACCTGCCAATAATATGCTGCATCAACAAGTTAAAAAGTTACATCAATGGAAAGTTATTTTTTATAGTAATACATGTGTGAATGAAGAAAGCTTGTTAACTTGAAGTTAATCACTATTATTTTTTTGAGAAAATTGTTTTAAATATTTTGTATTTGTAAATTATAAAATGGTATGTCAAAAAATGCCAGTTACTACATGTATCTTCAATAGTCATATGAATAATGTTAGTTTTATCATTATTTGGTGGAAATTAAAAGAACTTTATTTCCCTATAAATGTTGTTGTTATTGAAATTTAAAGCTTAAATTTACAATGGAAAAAGGAAATATAATGACTACAGACAAAAGGCCACAGAGCAAATATGTGAAGTAATGCTCCTCCAACAATGAGTAATGGGCTTTATCACCAATTTGTACATTTTTCCATTGATCCTACTGCCTAATATTTGTTAAGATCATGGAAAGGACTTGATACTCAAAAAATATTAGGCAACGACGTCACGAATCAGTGCAGCAACCTGGTGTGTTCATGTCCAGTCATGTCAATTTATCAATGGAATGTACGCCACTTCATTCATATAACCAAACAATTATCACAATGTTTAATACGCGTAAAACTAGTTTTATTAACTAATAAATAGCTTTTTCATGTTCTCAACCAATTGTTAAGATAAATTGCTGATAAAAAGAATAAAGACATTTTATTTTTTGATATGTACTTCATCAGCTCAAAAATTAGCTTGCCCTAGCGGGGCTTCCTTGATATTCTTGCTGATAAAGTCAGTATCAAAAACAAAAATGCCAGAATCTATATATTATTTATAAGCTCTAAAACCATGCTCTTCATAAACAGTAAAAACATCAAATGACAAAGAGTTTGAGGTTCAGGATGTTTGCTTCTCAGCTTTCATATTTTCATGCTGACTTTTTAACCTTTCTGGCTTTTCTTTGACTATGTATTTCGTATATTCGTGTATGTTTTTTAGTGCGGGTACCATTCATCCATTAGCCATAGCTTTGTTTTGGCATGATTCAAATAATATTCTTGGTCAGTTTTTCTAGCTTTTAAAGTTATATGATTGTGCTTAAGCTAAGGTTGGAACTCCCTCATGTGAATTTAACCATAGGTTTTTACAGCTGGTCTGTTGAGGTCCTTTTGATTGTTGTGCTCTCTGACATTTTGTTTTTGTCTTTTTGTGCTTTTGTACTCAAGCGAACATGATGAAGGATATTCCAGAAACACATGGAAAATTGTATAACAGAACCAAGTGAAACAATTTTAATTTTGACAACTTTGATTATCTGGAAGGATTATTGAACAATCGGAAGATAATTCTGAATTAATTTTGATCTTAACAGGTTTCAATGGAAAAGAATCTAAAATATATTTTCAAAACCTACACAGAAAATAGTAAGGACCTTGCTATCCACAATACACTGATGAGAATTGATGTCACTGTTTAAAACCTTATTATTTATGTTATGCCTTCTCCTTTCTCCGCATATTGATGAATTGTTCTTTCAGTTATATTATCTGCACTTATTAAAGATTAAACTTATTTCATTGTGAAAAAAAAATGATGAGAAACAAGTTTTTTTTTCAACATAGAACATCTTCCCCAAAGAAGACTTCACCTGCACTATGTAACCACAATGTATCTTCTCTCTCCTGTTTTTGGCTCAACTCCACAATCAAAAACACCTGCTTTTTATCTATACAAGTCACATGAGAGATGCAACTAATGGATCAGTAATTGCATACTCTTCTAGGGCACCTGAATTTGTAACATAAAATAATGTTCCCCATGAAATATTGTCCATTGGACAATTTCATATAAAATATTGTCCGTGGACACTATTTCATAATGAAAAATGTCCTTGTCTATGAAATTTTGTCTCCTTCTTCTGAACAATATTTCACTATGAAATACTGTCCATGACAATATTTCACTGCGAAATTGTGTCTATGACAATATTTCACTGTGAAATGACAGTGAAATATTGTCCATGAAAAATTTCTTAATCTTATTATGTCCTCCCTTAGAAATCCTCTGCCATGAAATTGTGGCGTTTCTGGATTTAAAAAAAAAAAATTTTCATGAAAAGTATGTGTATAACCTGGAACATAATATATTGTATACTAGTCCCTGTAACCTTAAATAGCTGCATTAATTAACTATGCAGGTTTGTTTATGAAAATATCAATCAAATAAATCTCTTCAATGATATCATTACCTTAAATGTTTATAACCTCCCTTTCATGAGACAAAATTCCATGACAATCCACCTATGAAATATTGTCTCAATGATCACAATATATAACCTTGGATAACCTCCCTTTAACAAGACAAATTTCATTCTATTCATCTATGTACTATTGTCTGTATATGGACAAATTTTCATATGGAAATTTGTCATTCTCTTGACATTTTTTCATAGATAGTGGCAAAATTTCATGATACAAAGTCAGGAAATATTGTCTTGGGGGACTATTGAGGGACAATATTTCATAGGACAATATTTTGCTTTACAAATAGGTATGACACATGACGCCATTTTGTCATCGTACATTGGTGGTCATGAAATAAAATCGAATTTTCAAATTTCCCTGCAGAAAAGGTTGTATTGAAAAAGATATTGAAAATAACATTTTGTAAACAACTGTAACCCACTGATTAGTTCTGCCAAATTTCGTTGCAAAAGAAGTTTTTTACATATTTTCCTGTTTATCTGAAAAGGTCCGATCAGCGAGTATTGAATTTCTTCCCGACGTCACGGTCAAAAAATTGCGTTTGTTGATAAAAAGGGTGAATTTCATGGCTTCGCCGGTAAATGAGCCAGTCGCCATTTGCATATAATCTATGGTCCATTTAAAAGCGGCAGTTTCGTATTTTGAGATGATATATTTTTCTTTGAAGAAAATTTATTTTTTACGGTAAAAAAATATATTTAAAGTCTTAATTTGAGTTTAACAAATGGTTCCCAATTAATTTAATATTTGAAAAATGTATCATTAGAAAGCTGAGAATTTTTTCTTCAAAATACAGTTGAAAGTTCGAAACTAACGAAATTGGCTCTTTTGCCGGTCATGACCTTTGTACTCTTCCGTTACTAACGACGCCACAAAAGTAAACGTTACGTCAACGTCAAAAATTTTCAGAAAAAAAATGGAACGTCAACAATTAATGGACTTGAGTGACTGGAATGAGGAATTTTTACATGATTTGATCAACAAAAAGATAAAAGCAGGTAAGATTATATATTTTTATGTAAGAAATGATAATAAATATTGAAAAAGAGAGAATTGGATGGTCTCATGTCTGATAAATGAGACCTGCCCCCCATTCTTTCTCCTTTTTTTTTTTTGCAAATATATTCCTCCCTTCTGGCCTGGGTGAAATAGGGTGGGGGTTGAAACTAAAATTGTCTATTGTAGGGGAAGTGCTGCTCAAATTTTTCCCAGGTCTGGACTTAGTTTTTTTCCCAGGCTTATTGGGGGGGGGGGGGGGGGGGGCAGCAGGAAAGAGGGATAAAACTTCTGAGACAAACAGTTTATTTTTTCGTCGTCATTCATAGCCTGATTTATTTTTTTCTCTCTGTAGAGATACAATTTTGGGGAATTAATGATATATCTAATACATTATTGAATGGAAGAAAAAACCATGTTTATAAATTCTGAATATATAAATCTTAGAAGTCATTTGGATCTTATTTAATAGATGGGTCTAAAATTGTACTAATAAAACAATGCAATACAGGTAACTGCTGTTTTGTTTTAGCATCTTCTGATGATTTAGTTAATACTTGTTATATAAATGTACTTTCTATTGTAGGAATACAGTCAATCACAAATGTACAATATGCCCTACTTTTCACGATGGTGCAGGAAATGGAGTGTCCTATATATGCAACCCTTGAAGATGTTTTACGTTATGCCATGCCTGCTGTTACAGTACCAAAAAAATGGGCCAATGTCACCAGAAGTGTAATGAACAATGTGAATAAAAACATGAATTTAAAGAATATTGTTTATCAGTTAACTCCTCAAGAAAAGCCTACAACTATTAATAATGAAAGTATAGGAAATGTATGTGATGCATTAGGTATACGCCGGTCAACTCTGCTCTATCCACTGGAAAATTTATCAAGTTCTCTTTTAACTGTGAAAGCTTTCCATGAAATCTGTCTTTTCAAAAACCGGTATTCCTATACATGGTCAGATGTGGCTGAATGGACCAACAATATGTTGCCAGAAGGCATGCTTGTGAACAAACATAAAGTTCTATATTTATACAAGAAAATTAATGACAATTTTCAAAGTTACATGAAAAATAGACAAAATGAAGATCTTGACACTTTTAAATCATCCAAATTCTTTAAGTTTCTTAATAGTACTTTACAACCAAAATTACAAACAGATATGCAGAAAAATGATAGTTCATTAAAAAGGCAGTGTTTAAAACTTGTAGCAAATCAGAGAGAAGTTTTGACTGAAAATCAAGAGTTGTGTTTTGAAAATGAAGTGTTAAAAGAACAAATTGTTGAACAAAAGAAAAACATCAGGAATAATGAATCTGAATCAGTGAAAAGAAACCAGGAACTTAGAAAACTAAGGTTGACAAAGGAGGCAAATGTAAACTTAAAAGAAGAAAATAAATCTTTAAAAGAAAATTTGACTTCTTTGAAAAAGGAAAATTTTTGTAAGAGATTAAGGCGAAAACAGAAAAAGCTTGAAAAGAAAGAAAGAAAAATAATAGAGAAGAATAAAGCTTTAAACAGAGAAAACAGTGGTCTAAATGCAAGAATAAGAGCTATTGAATCAGATTTTGCCAAAAAAAAGAATGAAAAAAAAATAAAAATTCACAGATTGTCAAACCGATTATCTCATGCGAAGAAATTTAATATCAAACTCAAACAGAAATTACACAGCCAAAATGTTGATTTAGAAAATAAAAAAATTGAAACATTAAATCTAAAGAGAGAGTTAAGTGTTGCAAATGATCAGTTAGATATAATTGAGGCAGAAAATCAAAATAAAAAAGTATCTACAAAGGAAGGTTTCAGATACACTGATAGCATGCGAACATGCATTATGGATCTCCATGGCAGTGATATTTCTGCAAACAAAATTTCTAAAGTTATAAATATTGTAAGCAACAACTTGTTTGACTCTGTACCATCAGATTTGCCATGTAGATCGACAAGTTCAAATATATGTGATGAAGGACATGTTTTAGCTAAACATCATGTGAGTGAAACATTGGCAAACTGTCAGCAATTTGACATTTTCTCAGATGGCACCGGTCGTGAAGGAAAAAAAATAATAGATTTAGGAGTACATACAAAAACCGGTACATTATCATTAGGATATAAATCAGTGGCAAGGGAGGATTCAGATACTGTTGCTCAAACAATTAAAGACTCTCTAAATGAGTTTGCTGATCTTCAAAGCATATCTATTAATAAATTATTGTTGCAACTTACAGCTATGATGAGTGATCGTTCAAGCGTGATGAAAAAAACAAATGAAATTATTGATGAATGGAGAAAATTAAAATTGACAGAAGATTTAAATGAGAACGACATATCAAAACTTAATTTCTTTTATTGCAGTGCACATGTACTTTTAGGCTTCCACAATGAAATAACAAAATCACTTAAAGAATTAGCAAAACAGACTCCACCTATTGGAAGAGATTCATTGCCAAAATTTGCTCGTTTCAAACACAATTCTGAGCCATCATCCATCAGATTAATTCGTATGGCTTCAGAAGTTTTAGGTCCAAGGGGTGACGAGAAGAACGGTGCAAGACAGGAGTGGCTTGCTTTTTTAGCTCTAAAACAAAAATCTTCCATGATTATAAATTACAGGGGGAATAGGTTCAACAATTTGTTTACAGGTGCTGTTTCTATTTTGAACCATTCTGAAGACATAATTGACTTTATTTCGAACTATAGAGAAAACCCAAATGATAAATTGCAATCTGTTCTTGCTGACATTAAATGTCCTGATGTTCTCTCCCATGTTTCCGCCATTGCCATAGCATCTATGATTTTAGCTGAACCATTCTGGAATGTAATTAACAGTGATGAACATTACTTAGATCTTTACAAATTTATTATACCTTTACGAGATAGATTGGTTGATTGGAGCTCAAATGATTTCAATGTTTTTGATTTTAATTATGACGAAATTCCTAGTTTGTATGAACAATATCCACATGACATAATTCAACAGGTATTCAACAAGGCAAAGATACAACCTAAAACTAATGACATTCTTAAAATTATATGTTCATCCATGTTGACAATTGTAAAAAGACAACTTAATGACCACCTTGAAAATGGAGTATATGGATCGCTCCCTGATCCAGATCTGAAATCAAGAACATCACATAGCAAGTTAACAAATATACCCGCGGAAAATTTGTTTGGAGATCTAGACTTTTATTTCAAAAGAAAACCAAATGCAACTTTAAGACATCATTCTGCAATAAGTATGCTCAAACGAAATAAAACAATACAATGGCTAAAAACTAAAACTAAAAATTCCAGGAAAGTTTTACTTTTAAAAGCTAGAAAAAGTGCTAAATCTTTAAAGTCAAAAGAAATTGCATATGAAAAGAGTGTTATGGAAGCTAGGAAAACACATTTACAGCAAATAAAGAAGAAAAAACAACAGCTTGAACAAAAGAAAAAGATGGAAATAAACAAAATTGAACTAAATGTGAGGCTAATGGGTGGTATAGTGCGATCTAGGAAGGATGTTGACTGTCTTTTACAATCGTCTAAAACAATCAGATTAAAGAAAGAAAAACTCAGAAATCAGTTACTTTATTGTAAACATTTTATGAATTTAGATGTTGATAAAAAAGGCATAATGTGGAAAAACACTGTTAACCAAATGAAAGATGTTTTAACACTAACTTTGAAAATTGACAAACAGAAAGTTTTAGAAAAAGGGATATGGGTTGCAGTATCCTACGAGGATAATTGGTATCCAGGGGAAATTATTGATATAATTGACAATGCATACATTGTAAAGTTTTTAAAACGAAAAAGTATGAGAGGAAATACTTTTATTTGGCCAAACAAAGACGATATAGATAGTATTAATGAAAAATTTATAATTTATTCTGATTTTGAAATAATGCCCTCTCCGGGGCTTAGACATTGGCTCATTCCCGACATGGATGAAATTGAAATATTTCATAAACAATTTGTGGAAAAATACTTTGAAAATTGTTAATCTGTTCTGAAAATGTTTATTTTCAATGTTACATGTAACTGTTAATTGTTATTTTATCTTGTTACTTAAATTATTACATATTCCACTGTTTTATATCATTTTTGGCCAAACCAACCTTTTAAAGATTCACATTACCATGACTGCAGACATATTTGAAATAAACACATTTGGTTGTTTTTCCCTGAAAGGATACACCATATACATTTTAGAAATTACATGGTCTTCCTTTAAAAAAAACATTGAAACAAAACAGTAATTTTTTAATTTCAAAGTATCCAATATATTTTGTGGAAAGTTGTAGTTAATTGTTGCTATGGTAATTGACTAATTAAGGATAACAAAACTATCATGTCCTGACCAGTAAATATATCTTTAACATTGATAAAAGAAAAAGCATGCCAAAAAGTCTCAGAAAACAAATGTGTGCAAAGATAATTTGGAAATTGAATATTTAACGGGTTGTACGATGGTTGCTTCAAATTAGATCATTGAAAAAAATGGTAACCATGGTAACAAAACTCAAATTTCCACTTAAGATATTGCAATTTTGACAATGCCAAATGAAAGAGCATGCCAAATTACCCTGGTAGCCAAATTTGTAAGGAGGTAATGCAAATAGTAAAGGAATTACAGCCAATTCAAGAGAAAAAATGCTGGACTCTGTCGTTTCTGCAGTTCGGACACGTTTCCGAGGGTGCTTGAAGACCTATTTGTGGTGTTTATATTTTTGGAAACTTTGGGTTTATGTAACTAGTAAAGACCATACCAGTCTAATATATCCCTAATTAGAAGATTTAGAGATTATTTAGGTTTTGTTAGCAACAAATGTGGAGATAAAAGCCTTCTAAAAATAGAGATTTTATCATTTTTGTATCAAATATAGCAAAAGTGGCAGAAAATATCGCTATTTTTTAAATTTGTTTTGGTCATAACTTTTGAACCGCTAAAGGTATCTTCACATTTTAAACACCATTTTCTTTGTTTTTATGAGCTCTGTAAGTTGAAAGCATTTATATTATGGAAGGAATGTGTTAAAAAAATCATGTGTCATACCTATTACAAATTCACTCCACGATTTTGTTTATGTAATAGTTGCCTGTGTGATTTTTTGTGGACTTGATTTATACATGTTCATATATTTTTCGGGTTTTTTTTTTGTCTCGCCTGCGACTACAGGTCAACTACCATTAGTGCATTGAATAATTGTATGGTGTACTTGTCTGTCTGGCATGTATCATCTGACCGTGACCTCATTTTCATTGTTCATTGGTCCATGTTAAGTTTTCATAGTTAAGTCTTTTTCTTAGATACTATAAACAATACGTCAGCAATATTTGTATTAATAACATTGACCCCATTTTCATGGTTCATTAATTAATATTTAATAGTTTTCGTGACTTGGTCTGTTACTTGTATACTATAAGCACTAGGTGAGCTATATTTAATGTATGGAATGATTGTAAGGGCTACCATTTGATTTTTATGGGGGGCTAGGATGAAAAAGTTTGTCCTGCATTTTTTTTAGTTGTAATCTCTGTCCTGCCTTTTTATTTTTCACTCTATTCGGCCCTGCTTTTTTTTTATTAGTTTATCCTGACTTTTTTTTTACATAAATTGTCATCCTTTATTTTGGCAAAGTTGCTCATCCTGCCTCTTTTTTTACTCAAAACTCCTGTCCTGCCTTTTTTTCAAATTTCATCCTAGCCCCCCTAAAAATCAAATGGTAGCTCCCTAAGGCGTACATGTCCGTCTGTCTTGGTTTTATCTGACCTTGACCTCATTGCCATGTATCATTGATAACGTTGAATTAATGTGATACTTGTAGTCAAACTTTATCGAAATAAAATCAATCATGGTCAGTAAAGAAGACGAGACATTTAAGCCTGTGGACTCGGGTTTTTTGCTTGTTTGTTTGTTGTATTTTTTTGTTGGGGATCGGTGGTCTTGGTTTTGTCTGTCCTAATTTTACCTGATTGATTGCACACTTGGTAACCTCTTACATTTGTTTTTGTTTCATAGTTTATTGAATCAAATGACTGTATCAGTTGTCCTCTTCAGCGTTAAAATCGCTACAAAAATTGATTATTGCATAGAATATTTCAGTTGCAACGATGGAATTATTTTTTGTATCAATGTTGGCTGACCTGTAAGGCCACATTTTAAAAATAGTATCATTATTGTGTCAACATTTATTTGCGACATCAGTTTAAGTATGTCAGCTGGAGCTGTTACGTGTAATATACTGTTTTGGTTTTAAATTATATACAAACAGACGACGACTGCTGTGATCACTATTTTGACTCGGGCGCATGGGGAATGGATCCCCCTTGTAATTTTAATTAGTAAATATTCTATAAAATTTTAACCTATTTTCAATAATAAAAATGTTCTTGCTCTTATCAATCTATTCGCTAAATAAAAGATAAAACACAAAAAAAGGGGGGAGGTCTACTCCCCCAAACGCCCGAGTATTTTGGCACAATGAGTTGATCATATTAAGGCGAGAGAGATTGGCTAAGAAAAATAAGATATCAGTTTTCAGTATAACAGATAAAATGAGTTCTGATGAAGCGGTTTCACAGGAATTGCTGCTTTACGCCCGATAACATACCAGTATATAAATAACACATAGCTGAGAGGGTGATAGAGCAGATTGTTACCCCGAGAAAATTGTGTCAACGGAGGCGAAGCCAAGGTTGACAATGTTTTTTTCGAGGGGTAACAATCTGCTCTATCACCCTCTCAGATATGTGTTATTTAATTTATTATACTGAATGTTCTGTTATTACTGTCTATTAAATTTCAAATTCAAAGTAATAAACTATGTCGTCTTGTACATAACAATCATCCGTATTTATTCAAGCACACACTTGAGCAAGCGTCTCCGTGAAGGGTAATAGAGTATTTGCCATAGGATAGAGTTAATTGTCTTCCTCGTATTAACCAATCAAAATCTGGCATTTTGACGTGAAGTATAACAATCTTTATTGTCAAATGGTATGCGCGCGACATTTGGGTTTAAATTATTAAACAATATTCGAGTTTTTAAACGTCAGCTTTGTTAAAAAAAATCTCCATATCATTCTATGAAACACAGACATTTTGACGGTACCAACTATTAAAAGTTTTTCCAGTCCATTTCAAGTCTTTTGTTTTATAAGTATTCAATAACTCACACAAATCACACAAACTTCTATAGTAATTGTTTTCATTGTCTATATGGTATTTATCTGATTCTTTCAAGTATGATATGTATTCGCTTTCATTTGACCCTAGTCTTAATAAATATTCCGCAAGAAGTTTTGGGTTTTCATAATCATTAACATCTATGTACGTTTTTGGCGGTAAAATGGATTTTACGTTCGGAGCACCTCTATACACATATACAGCATTACTGTTATCGAGGAATGTATGAAATATCTTTTCAGTAACATAATCTTTGCACAAACTATTTTCAAATCCAAGATAAAATTTATACTTTTGCGATAACACTTCATGGCAGCCAGGCAAGGTCCGGTTCGGACAAAGTGTTTTACCGCATTGACCATAAATATCAACATCTATATATTTTTGCAGTTTTCTGACGTACAGTTCACGTTTTGATCGTGTATAACAATTACCTACCGCCCATGCAACAAATTTCGTTTTATTTTTGAAAATTACACTGTAGTTTTTCTTTAAAGGAATAGTTCTTCTAAAAGTTTTGTAGTTCAAGAAAATTTCACCATCCTGTCTATATGTCATGCTCCAGTCAAATTTATTATCCCAAATATGATTTAAGTCCATATCGTAAGCAGGACTTTCAATATTAACAATTATCCAAATCTGACCATGTTTCTTAAACGGCACGTTGTTCCACATATCACGGTAGGCAAATAAAACAGCTGCACTCTTATTAAGAACTGTCTTATCTTCTGTTAGAATACAGTTTGAGAATCTACATCCAGTCAAATTTACATTTCCACTAAAATATCCTTGCTTAGCATACCAAAGAATAAATATTGTTGGAATATTCTTACTGGAATTTGAACTAAGTGTAGAACTATCAACATAAAAACTTCCAACAACCTGGAGGTATGATCGGAGATAATAAAATGTTGTCTGATGTCCAGTTATAATGCAAACTATAACTAACGCAACTAAACATACAAAGCAAAACAATCCGAAAAACTTTTTCTTCTTCATACAAATCGCTGAAAACAGAATAATAAAATTGATAACTATACGCATCCAATAAACTATAACATTTTCACCAACGAAAATTACATAATCCATAAGTAGAATTCGCTCAGACTTTTAAAAACTGACCTTCAAGTATGAATAAACAGAGGTGTAGGGTATTCGTCAATACTAACCAAAACAAACGTGTTTATTATGTTAAAAGTCCATATCACGCACGCATATATCTTTTTGCACTTATATATATATATATGTTAAATCGTAATATATTACCTATTAAACGAATAAGCGCAGTACAAATATACCAAGTGTCATAACTAATAATTTCATAAATGCTACATGTAGTTATCGCAAGTTAAGATGTGAAACAAGTACCTGAAAAAAATTGGCAGCGGAATACGCGCCGATAGAATTTTGTTATAAATTCTAAACTTTCACATATGGAAATTACAAAAGAAGCCCACACAATTTACTTTATTTAGCATTAGATAATCAATGCAGTTTATGTTGGTGTGTATTTGCGCTTCGCCTAAAAAAGCAAGAAATGTGTCCCTAAAATACTATTCCCTTGTCGCACCATCACATTTCCATGTTCAAAGAACCACAAAATCTGGGTTAATTGCCCAATTTGGCATAAAATAATAAAAGTTAACATCATAATGCACATATTTACTAAATTTCAAGCTGATGCGACCACGACGTTTTGGAAAACTACTCTCAAACCAAATGTTAACCTATCTTGAATCAAAACTTTAACCTGAACATTGTACGGTGAAATCTGAGTCAAACATAAAAATAAGAAGACGTGGTATGATTGCCAATGAGACAACTCTTCACAAGAGACCAAATGACACAGAAAATTGATAACTATAGGTCACCGTACGGCCTTCAAAAATGAGTAAAACTTATACAGCATAATCAGTTATATAAAAGGCCCCGGAATGACAAATGTAAAACAATTCAAACAAGAAAAAATGTAATACAATTCAAACAAGAAAAAATGTAAAACAATTCAAACAAGAAAAAATGTAAAACAATTCAAACAAGAAAAAATGTAAAACAATTCAAACAAGAAAACTAAAGGCCTGATTTATGTACAAAATAATGAACGAAAAACAAATATGATATACAGCAACAAACGACAACCATTGAATTACAGGCCCCTGACTTGGGACAGGCACATACAGAATGTGCCGGGGTTAAACTAATTTGAAGGCTCCAACCCTCCCCCTAACCTGGGACAGTGGTGTAACAGTACAACTTAAGAACAAATTATAGAAATCAGTTGAAAAGGGTTTAACTCATCAGTTGGATACAAAGCAGAAATTCATCTAACAAAAACACAGAGTGGACGTGACAGGGTACTTATACATCCACACAACAAAAAAAAGTACAGATCTGAGAGTACTCGCAGTTACTGACAGCTAGTTCAAAGCCAATAACAACTGATAAAACATCATGCATCAAACCCTATTTCGGCATATATATTAAAAAGTTTACACCATATACAGCATGTGCACTATGTTTCAAGCTTACGTGACCACAATTTCATAGTCAACTACCTTAAGCAAAAACTTTAATCTTATATTGGACAGACGGGCGGACGAACGGACAGGAGAAAATACAATGCCCTGCCATCATAAGTGGACATAGAAACAGTGTTTGCATTGTACACTCCCAATTAAAAACGATAATATATATATATAGAGAGAGATTTAATATAGATTTAATTTCCAAAACGAAATGTTGTTTATTTTTTTGTTGTTGTTTTTTTTTTTTTTTCAAATTAAAAAAAAAAAAACGAAAAAGCACGACGCTTAGATATGTATTTTTTTTTGGACTAATGACTGTTCGCGTGAATTCTTGAAAAAACATCCTTTAAGATATTTGCTTTTATACATCGCATCGTGTTATACGGACTTGAAGTTCTTGATGAACTACGGTGCTTATTAATTCTATAACATTTTTCATAATAGACCGAAACTGAAAAAAAATCATAATTTGAAGTTCACTTCCTTGAATAGTTAAGTTTTGCTTTCCGACGTGGAAATAAACCAAATAAAATCAAAATATGTACTGAAAAACATTTTATTGATATTTTATTTTGATAAATACATCAAACTATCATATCCAATACTATGCCGACTATAAGCAAATAATTAAGAAATACGTGACCAGTCTATAGAAACAACTATAAGCGTAATCAAAAATGAATTATAAATAGACAAATAAACGAATGGATGAAATAAAATGAATAAAATGAATAAAATGAATAAAATGAATAAAATGAATAAAATGAATTAAATGAACTAAATGAATAAATGAAAAGAATAAATAGAATGAAACAAATGCTCTACTTGTATCTGTAGTCGAGATTTCAATGAACGTAATGTATGCATAACCGATAAATGATTAAGTCGGGGATTCGTTACCACAAATTAATTAAAACTTTTACTTTTTGTTCTTATGCTGTGCTGTTAAACCATTGTCCAAGGTTAGGGGAGGGTTGAGCGCTCACAAACACATTCTTCATATGCCTGTCCCAAGTCAGGAGCCTGTAATTTAGTCGTTGTTTCGTGTCTGTCATATTTGTTTTTCGTATATTGTATTGTTATAGATAAGGCTATTAGTTTTCTCGTTTGAATTATTTCATATTTTTCATGTCGGGCACTTTTATAGCTACTAGTATACGGTAAGGTATTTTCTCAAAGTTGAAAACCGTACTGTGACCTATAATTGGTTATATCCACGTCATTTTAACTCTAGTGGATAGTTGTGGCAATCATACCGCATTTCCTTATTTTTATATTATTTAAGGAATGACTGTAATATTTTTTCTGTCTATGAAAAAATAAATAAATTTGGGGTATTTACTGTCTTCTGATTGGTTAAAAGTATTACCTTTATTTTCATTGTGAAGAGTCAAAAATTAATTTTATGGTTCAATAAATTCAAAATAAATAATAGTCATTCATTAAATAACATAAAAAATGTGGTACACACTGAATAACACGCGTAGCGGGTTATCTTAAAGTGTGCACCACATTTTTTATGTTATTTCGAATAGACAGAAAAAATATTACAGTCATTTCTTATAATTTAATTCTAAATTCTATTTTAAACCGGAGTAAACCATGAAAAAACGTTGATGACGTCACGGTCACATGACAAAATTATGTCTATGAGCTGATAAACAAAACAACGTCAGCCAATCAGAAGACGCGTTACATCCAAAATTAAATTATAATGAAATGAACGTTCATTTAACGTTGGAAAAATATAAGATACGTAATTATATTATGCTCTGGACATCGTTTAACAAATGATTACATTTTGGAAATTTGCCACTGCTCATAGTGCTTGCAGATAATTTATTACCAATGTTTTGAGTATTTTACTCCTATTCAAATAGTCATCTGATACCGTGACCTTATCGCTATTCCCGGCTGACCCGAGAATCTGTCCCGCTTGAACTATTGACGTCATACAACAATCACTTTTCCATTGTGGCGTCAGATATTTTGTATTATGACGTCAGTATTTTACGGGAACCTGTGTGATGTCCAGTAATGGCGGACAAATAGCGATAAGGTGTATTATGTTAGACATATGAAAAAGAGATACAAGCAAACTTAAAATATTATTTGTTACCTATTTTGGCCATTCCTGTATCCAGATGTTCCATTCTAAATTCTATTCGCACCAACTCTGGAAAATTTAATTAATACAGAAATAAGAAGATGTGGTATGATTGGCAAGGAGACAGCTCTCCACTAGAGACCAAATGACATAGAAGTTTACAACTATCAGTCGGAAAGCTGACCCCGGTTTGACCCCATTTCTTAAAGCAACAATGGAAGTCATGTGACTACCATATTTGGGCATTTTTTTGGTCATTTTTTCCACAACTGAAACGACTCTGTTTCCTCCAAAAAGTCATATCAAATGAAATCAAAGCATGCTGTACGTTACAAATGCCAATTGTGTATACTTTTTAGAAGTTCTCACATAAAAATTGTTTTGATTAAAGGTACTGAATTAAAATACAAAGCCTTCAAATCAAAGGTCGTCACTCGTCGCGTCAAGTTTTTTCAACACATCAGTTGAAATTTCTTTCTTAACTTCTAGGGAACCTATGCTGAATTTAAAATATGCGATGAGGCTTTTTATAAACTGGCCTGTGTCAAATTTGTGCCACTTAATACGCTGTAATACGCAAATGTGCCACTTCGATGTGTCGATATTTCCGACGAAGCGGTGCCGATAGTAATTTACGAGTTACGTCCCTTTGTTGACACTTTTCATGAACAATCTTATGGGTACTATCTATCGTTTCCCTCAATTTTAGTTTGTAACCCGGATTTGTTTTTATCTCTATCGATTTATGAGTTTCGAACAGCGGTATACTACTGTTGCCTTTATTTATTATTATATTAAGCACCATATGCTGTTATATACTTAAGGAATGACTGTAATATAAAAAATGTGGTGCACACTTTAAAATAACCCGCTACGCGGGTTATTCAGTGTGCACCACATTTTTTATTTTATTTCGAATAGACAGAAAAAATATTACAGTACAGTCATTTCTTATAATTTAATTCTTAATTCCATTTTAAACCGGAGTAAATCATGAAAAAACGTTGATGACGTCAAGGTCACATGACAAAATTATGTCCATGTGCTGATAAACAAAACAACATCAGCCAATCGGAAGACGCGTTACATCCAAAATTAAATTATAAGTGGATATTATTAAAATAATTTTACTAAATATATTTTGATACTAAAGACATATGTAAAACAATTAGGTAAACACATTTTATCACTTTTACAACAATTTCAGAACTGAAATAGGGCTTTGATATTACTCTGTGCCATAATATATTATTACAAGGGTAACCATGGTAACTTTAATATTTATATTTTGGTAAATATTTTTACTGCTGTAACCAAATTATATCAACACAGAAATAAATTTCTACTACATAAAGACAAAGGGTAGCCAAAATATGCATGAATACTTGACCTATAGACAGGGTTAAATTGATCACAAACAGGAATTCTGTTTCAATATTGATACTTGATCCTACCTTTTTCATTTAAGTTACATTTAAAAGAAATAATAATCAAAGTATTCTCAATGTAAATTCTTCATTATTTGAAATAAAAGGAAATTGGTTTGCAATCCTTGTATGATTAAACTAAATATAACAATACATTTTGTCTCATTGATTCCATGCAATTCTAGATCTAATGAATGGACTCAAATTATAAAAAAAAGCCTAAACCAATGGATAATAATTTAAATGGTTTATAGCCTAATCATGAACTTGCGAATAAATAAGCTCGGTCTCATATTTTTCTTCTTCTATTTAAAAAAATAAATAACTTTGCATATTAAAAAGTATTTCAGAGCAGTTTCTGAGTGCTAAGTCAACAATTATGTTTTAGATCACAAGTCATATGTAAGTCACGCTTCATGTATATTATGAAAATGCGTTGAATAGAGTGATTAAAATGCAAGTCTGAAAGAGATTGTTTTAAGTTCAAAGGACAAGACTTTTGCATTTACTTTTGCAGGATTCCTTCATAACAAAAAAAAATACTAACAATGAATCATGCAGGGCTGCCAAGTCTCACGCAATTTTTAGCGTGAGACTCACGCATTTTCATGCATATTTGGCGGCATTTTCTCTTGATCTATTGTTTTTTTCTCTTTGATCTTTACAATTTTTTGCTTCATGAAAACTTAGCAGTACTGTGAATGAGTTTTTTTTTGTCACCTTAAGGTTGTGCACAGACAGTATAAAACTTCCTTACCTTATACACCTTATCGCTATTCCCGGCTGACCCGAGAATCTGTCACGCTTGAACTATTGACGTCATACAACAATCACTTTTCCATTGTGGCGTCAGATATTTTGTATTGTGACGTCAAAATTTTACGGGAACCTGTGTGATGGCCAGTAATGGCGGACAAATAGCGATAAGGTGTATTGTTTTAGTTAACGTCAAACATTTAACTTAAAGAGAATAATTAATCCAGTCAAATTCACAGCTGAACTCGCCATTTCTTTTCAAACAAACACACTAAATGTGTGTACATTATGTTCAGATGCATGTTGACATCGATGTGTAAGACCAAAAAAACTACAATGTCAAAAAATGTCTTTCTTTTGGAATTTAGTTCAAACGGGGTTTCCTAAGGGGTGACAGAACGTGAGACTTGAATTTTTTTTAACTTTAAGATACATTTTATTGATTTGTTATATAGTATAATCTTTGTTTATCTGTGAAAAAAAAGAAGAAAAAATAACAGACAATTTCGCATAATCTATTAACGTAATTGTTAAAAGACGGCCAATTTAGGTATTATTTTCTTTAATAATAAGACACATGCTTAAAAGATAGAAAGAAATCTATTTCTGCCCCCAATGGCAAGTAAGAAACAGAAAATAGAAAATTTTCCAAATTGCCGCCAAATTATTTTTTCCGCGAAATTAATGGCAGGCTTTAATATCAGTCCCATTGTTGTCTTACGAAAGTAGCAACAACGGTTGTTTCTAAGGGCTTGCTTTCCGACTGCTATAGGTCGCCGTACGGCCTTCCGCAACAACGAGGAAAACCCACACCGCATAGTAACCATATATTATAATTACTACAAGAATTTTGAAAACCTTCACGTAATACTGACTTAATCAAAGTACTGAAGTACTGAACATCGGATGACCAGGGGCGGGTCCAGGTAAGGGCGTAATGGGCGTACGCCCCCCCTTTTCAAAAAAAAAAAATAAAAAAAAAAAAAAAAAAACTATCGTTATCTGCTTATATTGTATTGAATATGGCAATTTATCATATTCATTAATTAAACACATACTCTGATTTCTTTTTATACTGATTCCCCCATCCGATGGGTCACAGTGACTTGGACACCTTTTTTAAACAACCAAAGCAGTAAGCAAATCTATACATGAAATGGTTGTTTTGTGTGACACTTCCCCAATGGCCATTCTACATCTACCCGGGGGATATTCGCTATACATATGATACCGGGTATGTTCCGACAAACGGGGTTGCATTTTCAGCTAAATTGTCTGAAATGGGGTTATGTTTTTTTCGCCTTGCATTGGAAAGGGTCAGATTTGACTATCTAGAACGGGTATTATAAATACAATGTTACACTATTGTTTCAGATAAGGGTGAATGTTTGGTACCATTAAAACGTTTAAACCCGCTGCAACTGTTTGCACCTGTCCTAAGTCAGGAATCTGATGTTCAGTAGTTGTCGTTTGTTGATGTGGTTCATAAGTGTTTCTCGTTTCTTATATAGATTAGACCGTTGGTTTTCCCGTTTGAATGGTTTTACACTAGTAATTTTTGGGGCCATTTATAACTTGCTGTTCGGTGTGAGCCAAGGCTCCGTGTTGAAGACCGTACTTTGACCTATAATGGTTTACTTTTATAAATTGTGACTTGGATGGATAGTTGTCTCATTGGCACTCATAGCACATCTTTTTATATCTACTAAATTGAAAACAACGTTCAAACCTATGATTGAGTTGGATAAAAACCGCAATCTTTATACGTGTGCATGCAAAACAAATTTCTTGGTAAAGGGGTCTAAATACAGCACAAACAAAATTTTCCAAAAGACCAAAACAGTGAAAAGGAATATTTTAAAAAAACGGTCGGGTATGGATAAATATATATATCAAAAGTTCAGAAAAAGCTATCGTTAAAGATTTATTTTTCATTTATCATGCCCATTTCATTTAACTTTTAAACTGAATTTACAACTTCTTCCAAAGATTTGATATCCACATGTTAATCAATACATAATTTGAATGATCCGAAGGCAGACTATTTTCACCAATTTGTCTATCATGGAGTCTGTTATAATACTTCATAATTTGATGCTAAATTGTTGAAATCCAGGAGCTTCTGACCTTCCCCATGGACCCTATACCAGGGCAACCGGAATTACACCTCCCGTTCATAAAATCCTGGCCTAGGACTATTGAAATGTAAAGTAAGTAAACGCCCTATACCCTAGAATTTGGAATTTCTCGTTATTGGTCTACTGCTGTTAAGATCCATCCAATCATTTTAATATACCATAGACAATTAATGGAGAGAATTCGGCATAAAAAATATCAAACCCTGACACTTTAACTATAGAATATACATGCTCCAAGTCACTCCGCGGGAACCGTTACATTAGTGCATTTCACAATTATTTTATGTTTTTTAGCCAAAAAAAGGTCCAAAAAAATTTTCGCCTCGCTCCGCACGGCGGAAGAATGTAGTTTACGCCCCCTCTTTCAAATATCCTGGAAACGCCCCTGATGACCACAAGTTCTGGTGGATGGTCACAAGCACTTGTCTCAGAAAAAAAATCACATCTCTATACCTGAAAGTTAGGTTAAGGTACATAGATATATTTTTTCTGAGACAAGTTCCTGTGTGGATGATGAATAAATGACAGGGAATTCAACCTCACCGTAATAATTATTATATTGTAGTGATATAATCATTTGTTATCAGTATACCCTGGTTTGTTGTTACATATTATATTTAAGAAATAATTCATGGGGGCTTGAATATATCGTGATTTTACCACGGGTTGGCCCTTTATGACAAATGTTTTACCCTGAGCGATAGCGAGGGGTAAAATATCGGCATAAAGGGACAACCCGTGGTAAAATCACGATAAATTCAAGCCCCCATGTATTATTTTGATTCTAATAGGACAAATACGGCATGTTTTGGATCGAAGTGCTCTAGATGAAGGCATTATTTGCCGTTCCCATAAATAAACGCACTATTAAATTGACGTAAAAGACCGGAGCAAACTGAATAAATGACATGCTTAAACTATTTGCAATAACATATTTAGATAGGTTTGGATGAATCTAAATGATAATTGTACTTATATGTCTTATATGTATACAAAAAATGGCTTATATAAAACATTTTTATTTAGCATCGTTTGTTTACGTTTCCTTGTTGTAATGATTTTCGGTTTCGCAAGCGTGTATTTTCCCGTAAAATGCTTATATTCTTACGTCATCGTACTATGACGTCGGGTAGCTCATTCATAAAAAAGCATATGACGCGGGAGTACGATCGGAACAGCCCAAACAATATATTTATATTTTACCACGGGTGTGTACTCAAAGCATTTGAAGAACGTCAGGGGCGTAACTACCTTCTTAATAAAGTGGAGTCACAAACTGAAGGGCGAGGGGACTGGGGTCGCTTAAGGCCCCCAGTAAGTCCAGGGCAAAGCCCTTGTAGGGGGTAGGGGGCGAACCCCCCCCCCCCTCTGGAAGCTCCCCATACTAGTATATAGTGTTTCAAAACAATAACAACCGTAATAAAACTTGTACATTTTTGTTGTGGTTTTTTTGTCATCTATTTGTTTAACTTCGAATGAAAACTAGACATTGCCGTTTGTGTTTATTATACGCCGTGAGAGCTTTTAAAATCACGGAGATTTGTTCCACATGCTAGTTTTTGTATTGAGCAAAGTAGCTGTATAAAAAAACAAACAATAAACATAAACACAATACTATATGTGGAGTTTCTGTTAGCATAAACCCATTGGATACCAAATACTTGGTGGACATATTCTCCAAAAGTTTGCTTAACATATGTATTTAGATGTTTAAAACATTTGTGGGTAAACTCTACAAGAGAGAGAAAAGGGAATTTCTAATTTTACGCAGTTAGGAATTCTCGAAGTTGAACTTAATGAACTTTTTCAGAGGGAATGGTACTTTATATTGACCACGATCTTTTTCATGATCTGAGTTTGTTAATTAACAGGCAATATCTAGATGGTAACAGTAAAGATACGTGTATTAAAAGTTTGGTGTATCTTTCGAACAAAAATCAAGTTTAGTGTCAGACTCGGACAGAGAATTCATTATAAAATCGAATGACCAAATAGTCCAGTAAAACGAGTTAGAATTAACAATTTATTTAAATCCTTTTACAATCAACCATTTGTATTACCGGCCATATAGACACCGGCCCATATGTCGAATTACGAATCTATATACAAAATGCTTCTTTCGTAAAATAAATAAAAACGTAATACATGTACGTGTACTTTTTTATAACAGCAGTTCCAACTTCTCATCTACTAGAAACTATTGATTGATTGAATGGTTATTAATGTCCGGTAACAAATATTACATGCACACCAGGACGAGAATTCGTTGACGTGATGTGAAAATGAACTATTCGTGTTGTCAAAACCTACATACTTAGTAAATTTTGAACTAGTTCACAAGGTAACAGTCATTATTCCCGGATCGAAACGAGTTGAAGAGTCTTCGTTCTAGTAAGACGTGTGCTTTGGGGCGAAGCAGAAAATAATAATGTTAAAAGGTTTTTTTTGTTAACCCTAAAAGGATTATGCTTTTTTTTGCCCTCAAGGCGAGTATATACGTTATGGTGGTGGTACCGACAACTATGTAGCTGGTATTTTCTAAACAATGCCCCGTAATATAAAAAGTTCCGCTACGTTTACACCAGTTGTATGTATACATGTCTTACAGGATTAAAAATTTCGCTGCATGTGTATTCCTCTGGCTTTTATTCTTTGGGTAGTTTTTAAAATGCTTACATAGAAAGACCAATTCCTATATGTTAACTTTGTCCCTCTCTCTCTATCTCTCTTTCTGTTTTTTTTTTTTTTTTTTTTTTTTTTTTTTTTTTTTTTTTTTGTGTGAAAACGACGAGGATGCACGTGCTGTCGTGCCTCCGGGTAGCTACGCCCCTGAACGTAATGTTAGAATAATATTTGTTTACCAGTTATATATATAGCAGATAATTTTAATAACTCTACAGGCAAATTTTTATCCATTTATATATCATTCTCTTCTACTATTCTAATGATAGTGCAGTGCAAGTGCACGGTGGACACTCTTCTGTAATAATTCGTTTTTCTAATAGATTGGATTTGAGTAGGCATTCATATTTTCCCGCTTTTGTTGCAAAACGTTATCGAGATATTCTTCCACGTGTGTTAACACAAATTTTCGGTATCCATGATTTGTTATTGATATAGATATAGGAAGATGTGGTATGAGTGCCAATGAGACAACTCTCCATCCAAGTTACAATTTATAAAAGTAAACCATTATAGGTCAAGGTACGGCCTTCAACACGGAGCATTGGCTCACACCGAACAGCAAGCTATAAAGGGCCCCAAAAAATTACTAGTGTAAAACCATTCAAACGGAAAAACCAACGGTCTAATCTATATAAAAACGAGAAACGAGAAACACGTATGAACTACATAAACAGACGACAACTACTGTAATCAGATTCCTATATTTCTCACGACAAAACATTTTCATACATTTATCTATGTTCTTAAAAATTATCTTCTTGAATACTTATTGAAGAAATTAATATATAACAAGCGATAAGGAATGTTATTTTGCACTCGATAATATCCGCGCAATTATACGAAATACGTTCGGTTATCAGTCAAACGGCAAGGAAATTTCTGCGGCAACATAACACCGGTATGACCTCTCAAGGTCACATCCGATGTAAAAATCACAACATTGTAAGCTGCGTTATCAGCTGGTACAATGACATATTTACTATTAAATTCTCTTTGTTTAGATATTTTAAAATTTAGATAAAGAGAGCTTTTGATTTTCTGTCTCTACATAGTTATCTTCATAGTACTTTATGCGTTTGCCAACTATTTTCATTACTTTATTTTTTACTTCATTAAAAGCGTAGTTATCAACCTTTGATTGTGTTCTTGTAAGAAAATTCTGTTTTCTACTCATTTACATATATCCTAAATATCATGATCATGTTTAGAGAAAGATAATTGCATCCGAGATCGCGTTATGTAATGGACTAATTTTATAATTTTTATTGTCCCACTTTATCTATCGATGGGCATTCCACTCCCTTTTGAAAATACTAAATCGAATATGAAGTACATGGAAGAGGAAGATTGTTTGACGTGAAAATACGTAGTCCAATTTCGCACAGCTTCATTTACACACACAGTGATCTGATTCTTTATAATATTTTTACGAACTCATTTGAAATTTTGTTTTTCGAAGAAAGACCTATATTACAACATATTATAATAAGCATATTAAGAGTACGTCGACATGTCGCTGCATGATAATTCATCATTCTTTGTAGGCATGTCAAACTGTCACTAGTATCGGAAGTTCTAGTAATGGACTTATGCTAGTATCCAATCAACTGTTCTATCGCACATAGATTGACGTACGGTGATGCTTTAAACAATGTAATTTATAAAATGACATTGTCATAGTTTTAGGACACTGTTGTTACAGGTATATGTATTTGTATCAACATCAAAGAGTTATGTACTTTATTGTCGGAGTTGTGGACTACTTATTCAAAATTCAAAATAATGCTGATTTCGACAACGAGCTTTGTAACCGCGGAGAAAAAGATGAGTGCAATAGCACTTTAATAAGTTTAATCCAAAAGTGTAGAAAAATACTTCCGTAAAATAAACACATTTTACTAATATATTAACATGTACATGTACTTATATATCAATGTATAAATAAATCACTATTAATTTTTCTAACACTTTCGAAATTATATTTCTGTTCCTTATAAAAATTAATGATTTAAGATTTATTGATTTAGTGTTGTTTGCGTAACGCCCAGTGGATAATATTTCATGCATATTATAAGGCTATTGATAAAAAAAAATCCTCACCTAACAATTTATAGCATGCTCTCCTTGATTAGATATGATGTGAATATTGACAAATGTGTTTTCCCTAGAATATTATTTTCAAGCAATGCAATTAATGTCAAGTTCACTGATAAATGTTATTTCCTTCCTTCATTCTATGAAGTGTTGCCTTCCGACACGACAATGGAACATTTTCAAATAAAACAAAAAAGTATTTTGTATAACTGAAATATGGAATTATGATGGAATAACTAAATAATGTTACATTCTATTTTCTTATAGATACTATCTACTGCATTGTAGCTGGGTTGACATGTATTAAATCATATGCAGGAGCGGATTCAAAGGGAGTAGCTACTTTATTTGCATAATTATTATTATTATCAATACTAGGCTCTTGCACCCCTCTCCAGCAACAATCCCAGATCCACACCTGTATTGGATCTCAGCATTTAAGGAATTATAACTGTAATGTATCCGACACGGATTCTTATAAAATAAAACCATTAGGGGGTCTGAATGCGTTCACTTATATTTCTCGAAGGAAAATTTTATTTTTAGCAAGTCTTAAGAAAACAAACAATATAAAGAAGTAACAAAGCGAAGAAAAATCTAAACAGGAGCATTTCTGTATCTTCCAGTATACTGGTATAAAAATGTTCCCCTCTTAGGTTACAAAATAGATATTGGTAGCATAGAAAACAAACCAAAAGTATTTAGATACAATCACAACAACGTGAAAGGTTATAACCATGATTACAGTGTTTACTGTTAGACTGTTTTAACTTTATATATTATGTAAATTTAGTCCTGTAACAGATGACACATGCCCAGAAAGGAAGTCCACAGATGCCTGATATTAAAGTGAGAGACCAAGGCATAGAACAGCTTCTTAACAATATTGAAATAAACAAAGCAGTTGGGTCTGATCTCATACATGACAAAATCTTAAAAGAGTACAGGACATCTTTCACTCCAATTTTGTCAATCATTTTTCAAAACATCACTTAACACTGGGTAAATCCAAGATGACTGGCGTCATGCAAGTATTGTCCTGCATAAAAAAGGTAACAAACACGATTCTATAAAATAAAACTTTCGTTAACTTCTATCTGCTTCAAACTTTTGGAACATGTTGTAACTAGTAATAATGAAGCACATAGAAAAAATTATTCTATATAATTTTCAACATAATTTTCGATCATCCCTTTTTGTGAAACACAGTTGATATGCTCGATTTATTCAAGACCCTGCCAATTCTATTAATAAAACTAATTCAAACTGATGTCATTTTAATTCATTTTGCAAAGCATTTGAGAAAGTTTCACACTCTCATCTCATGTATAAAATCGACTTTTTTGTATGGTATGAATTGCAATGCATTGCAATGGATTCGAGATTTACTAACAAACAGAACAAACAAACAGTAGGTCTTGAAGGAGAAACATAAAATAACATCCGGAGTACCTCAAGGAACAATACTAGGACCATTCTTATTTTCAATTTATATAAACGATTTAGCAGAATATATCAAACAGAGCACATTAAAAGCATTTACAGACGGTAGCATTATTTACAAGAAGAAAGAAACCAGTTGACAATCATAAATTACAGTCTGAATTAGAAGCAGTCGGTAGATGGGAGCGGGACTGGCTTATGCGTTTTCACCCTGATAAATATATTTCCAGAATCTTCTCTGGTCCTTATTTTCTGCCCTAACTTTTATGTTTATCAAATGTATATAGTTTTATCTTAATAATTAATAAATCATATGAAGGATCGCTAGAAACTTATAGAAGGTATTGAAAATGTGATGAGTTTGGATTATACTGAAAGGGATGCAAACGATATATAGCCAGTTTTCACTATATAAATAACACATAGCTGAGAGGGTGATAGAATAGATTGTTACCCCGAGAAAACATTGTCATCCGCGACGAAGCCAAGGTTGACAATGTATTTCGAGGGGTAACAATCTGCTCTATCACCCTCTCAGCTATGTATTATTTACTTATAATACTGAATGTTCTGTTAATACTGTCTGTTAAATTTCCAATTCAAAGTAATAAAATAAGACCTCTTGTACATAATAACCATCCCTATTTAGTAAAGCGCACAAATGATCAAGCGTCTCCGCGAAGGGTAAAAGAGTTTTTTCCATGGGTTAGAGTAAATTATCTCCCTCGTATTAACCAATCAGAATCCCGCATTTTGACATGAAGTATAATAATAGGCAATATCCCACTATTCAGTAGCATTTAAATTTCATTTTTTTTTAATTTAAACGATAGGAGTAAGAGTTTATGAAAATTTCAAAAAAAATATACTATCGCCGAACCACAATTTCAAAGCAAAAATCGATTCAACTCGTTGCCCCTGAAGGAAAAGCATTTACTCTAGTGATAAGCCACATTTGGTGACACGGGAAGGAAGACGGGATTTTGGCTACGACAATTGAACAATTCCGCGGGGTCATATATGAGACGCATATCGTCATGTGAATCTTATAGTGTTAAATGTTCATTCTTTTTTTATAAAAATGGAGACAGCTATATATTTGATATCAAAGTGCAATGGTCTATCTCCTTATACAACTATAATACGCGATTTCTACACTCTATGAGTTTTTGTCAGAAGTACACTGTTCCATCTCCTCACTCCCATTGGATTATAATAGCTTATTATCATTTTGTTTAATTTCTTCTGTTACCTATTCTAACATAGGCCACGGACTTCTTTTGAACTGAATTTTATTGTGCGTATTGCTGTGTGTTTGTTTTTTTCTCCATTGGCTAGAGGTATAGGGTGAGGGTTGAGATCTCACTAAACATGTTTAACCCCACCGCATTTTTGCGCCTGTCCCAAGTCAGGAGCCTCTGGCCTTTGTTAGTCTTGTATTATTTTTAATTTTTATTAGTTCATTTATATGTTTTGGAGTTAAATATGACGTCCATTTTCAATGAGCTAGTACACATTTTTGTTTAGGGGACAGCTGAAGCCCGCCTCCGGGTGCGGGATTTTCTCGCTGTGTTGAAGACCCATTGGTGGCCTTCGGCTGTTTTCTGCTATTTGGTCGGGTTGTTGTCTCTTTGACACATTCCCCATTTCCATTCTCAATTTTATCTCCAAAAAAGGGGATGCTTTATTTAGCTAAGTTGAAAGTCTATTAAAAAAAAACAATCGAACAAGGAGTTTGTCATCATGTACGTAAATTTGATTCTTATATAACTTTTTATTTCTCAGTCAGCTATTTATGATATTGCGCTTTCATACTTTAATTTAGATTTTTACCACCATTACCAAATGGGAAAAACATCTTTATACGATTCATACGACGATATATCAATAACGGTCAACCAAACGCATGATTAAGTCGGTAAAACTTTCGAAAAGACTTTTTCAACAACAATACCATTCACTAACCTATGGTTTTGTAGCTTCAAAACGACAAAAATCTATCAAGGCAAATTTATTCATAATCGGAAATGAAATTCATATGAATAATGTAAATAACTCGAAGATATGTTTTCTGTATGCAGGAGCTGCTGGAGTGTTGCTACATAAAATTGATGGGTCACGAAGGGAAAATTAAATGTAAATCACACTTTATTAATGCATGCGTCTTCAGAACTTTTCTGGATTTACCATCACCAGGAACGCTCAAACATAAACATGTGAAAGCCGGGAATACAAAAACATAGACATGTAAAGAGATACTACACCAAAAAGGACATAAAAAGAATAGACAAATTCATATAACCTCAACTTTGCCTGAAGACATTAAAGTGACTTGATTAAACCCTTAGTTTATAAGTAATCTCTTTTGTCGTAATGTTTAGTTCTCAAGTAATTCTCACTGTCAATTTTAGATGAATTTTAAGATACCGAGCAGACTTTATTGAATTTTTGGCATTATCTTTTCCATGTTCATTAAATAGTTAACTTTTCAATGCGTGGACATCATCTATACAACGGATTGTGACATCACAGGTATGCTAAGTAGCCAATTAAATTCTTAAAAGGTAGAATACTCTGTAAATTTACCGATTCTGTCCTATTCCTGATTGTGACATTTTGATCTAGACTGTGTGGATTCTCATGGCGGGTGATGCAGCATGCCGCATAGCACCTCGGTTGCGTTCAGTATCGTAGCTGCTACGTAGGGCTACGTAGAATTTGACTAGCCTATTCGCTAAACCGATCTGGATAGCCTTTTCGCTAAACAGATCTGGATAGCCTTTTCGCTAAACCGATCTGGATAGCCTTTTCGCTAAACAGATCTGGATAGCCCCAAATACTCATGCTATCTAGAGAATCCAAAATAAATGGCGTCAGAAAAGTTATTACTCATGATGTCATTTTGATAGGCTATCTATACGTAGCATACCGTTCATCATAGATAGATATCTAAGACATAGCGGCGGTACTGCTACGATATTGAACGCAACCCGGGAGATGCTTACCCTGTCGATACACCCGATCTCGCTTCATATGTAGTTCATTCGATTTCCTCAGATTTTATTTTTACCTTGATTTGTCTTCTTAATCGATCTATGAGATTTATCCATCGGTAAACTTTAATAGATATGTTGTAAAACAGTTAAAAACACCTTAAATATATTACAACTAATGTACTGTTTTAAATTGTGATGTGTAATGACTGATGCCGAATGAAGTTTATAAGTCAATTTTCTTACACACACATAACACTGTGAACCTGCCTTATTTGAAGTATTCTCTTCCAGCCCATGCTACAAATCCAAACAAGTTAAGTTATCCTATTTCTTACTTCACAAGAAATGATTATACGATTTACGAAGTTGAGTTGATGAAATCCTGTTTATACGATAGGCCTCTTACTAGTATTTTGTGTTTTATTTGCTTCAATAGGTCGTTGTCGGGAACAAATGGAATTCAAATTAATTATTAATGATTTCATTTAACAATATACGAACAAACAATTCCAGACTCATAATTACGTTTGGACTCTGACAAAATGTTAACAAATAAAAATAAATCAATCAGTTAATGAATTGGATTTCTATAAAACGGTTGAAAGTACCTGGATTGA